CTATTGTACTAAAAACAATGTAGTATTACCCAAGCAAATTTTAATGCAATTAAAATTACAGCAGCTTTTGATGAACAAGTGAATATGATGAAAAGGTAATCCAGTGCAGCAATTATTTAATCCCCTTGAAGCTTTTTAATCCATTTTCAGATGTAATTTCTGGTGTATAGATTAATACGATTTAAATTAGCAGATCATGCTGTGAAAAGACCAGGGCACGTTCTTTTAGAAATTACAAAGATTAAAAAAAAGGTAATGGATGTTGACAGAATCAATTTTAAAATACTAAAAGAATAAAACTAGTTGTTGGTTAGGCTGTAAAAAAAAAAAACTGGTCAAGAAAGAAAGAAAGAAAGAAAGAAAGAAAGAAAGAAAGAAAGAAAGAAAGAAAGAAAGAATGAAAGAAAGAAAGAAAGAAAGAAAAATAAGGTATGTGTGTGTGTTTTGTTAAAATTACCCAATACACTCAGCTCACTCAGCATTAACTCAATCTCTTTGTTAGCATTTCTCACGCATGAGTCAACATCCTCACTACAATAGAAGTGTCAGATGTACGTTCCTGACATGAAGTGACATTTCTGACAGCTTCTCACTTCCTCACATCCTTATATGAAGTCTGCATTCAGTAGCTAGAGCTTTAGAAAAAAAAAACATATTTATAAATGGGTAATAAATAATAAACACCCCTTCATTTTTGAGATTGCTGACACGCAGCTTCCTAACAGCTACAGACATCACATGACATTTAATATCTAACATAAAATCACTGGTGCATTTACAGAACAGCGCTGACACCACAAAGTTACTTTTAAACATTAAAATTCAAAACTTTCATTAATTAATGATCACTCTCTTTTATGAAAGTTAAAAAGATTGGGGATGTTATGACTTATAAATGTTTCTGAAAGGTCTCTTGCTCAGCAACTGTGTTTATTTGATCAAAATACAGCATAAACAGTAACTTTGTAAAACATTTTCACAATTGAATAATATCTATTTAAATATTACTTCTATTAAAGTTTTACAATAGAGTTTCCATTGTAATACAGTTCAAATCAGAATTATTAGTCCCCCTTTGAATTTGTTCATCGTGGCAAGGGTAAAATAAATAAGTCATTAGAGATGAGTTATTAAAACTATTAAGTTTAGAAATTGTCAGCAGCGATTTCGCTACTCTTTTTTTTATTCACCCACCCACTACTTGTTCCAAACCTCTTTTAGCTACTTCCGTTGAACAGAAAATAATACATTTTAAAGAAACCGGTAACCCTTCTATTCACCGTATTCTTCGTGTATGCGCGAGTGCAGACATTTGAATCTTTTTGGTTTGAGAATTCCAGTCTCTTTCATTTGCATTAATTTTTAGGCATAAAAATTTTTTTTATGCTGCTTGATGCTGCAAACTGATATTTTCTTATTTTATTAATCTACTTTTTATATATAGTCATGAACACACTTGTTTGTAGAGCAAGTAGTTTGACCTCTTTCAGCAGTTTTTTATTCCTAGTCATTTCTTCCAAAGGAAACTGAATCAGAAGTTTGCAACCACAAAAATGAACGCATTTCCACATTGGAGAATAAAGTCAATAATAGAATTTTTTTCATATTGTGGATGTCAATCGGTACTGCTTTACATCATCATTAAAAATAAAAATTTTATGTTAAAAGAAAAAACAAACTCATAGAAGTATGGAAACCACTTGAGTGGGAATAAATAGTGAGCACATTATATATTTTTTTGGTGAACGGTTCCTTTATATAAAGCCATATGATCCTTTAGAAATAATGCCAATTTGAAGATTTCTTATTATCAATATATGACAGTATATTTGCTATTTTTTTTAAAAAAGTGGTTTTACAGACACTATAGGTTTCTTCATTATATACAGATAGTCAAAAACGTTTAATGGATAATTAACATATTTGTGAATAAAACTCATTTTTTATATATTCTTGGTGAAGAAATATGTAGATATAAGAAAAACCTTACTGATTCCAATTTTCTTGAATCTTAGGCCCTGTTGACACCCATTTTCAACATCCCAAGTGGGACAGATGCTAAGTGCAGTTGTGAATAGGGTGTGAAATGTTTTGAGCTTTTTCACTTTCGACCGCATCCAGAGGTGTCCGAAAACGCATTAGACCGGATTGCTCTTGTAGTGCGAACACACATGATTCAAACAGCTGCTAAAGATTGGCTTCTCTCTGCCAGCTGAGCTCATTTATAAGCAGCAGGACATGCTGTAGAATCATGTTGAAGAGACACATTTAAACTTTGTCACTGATAATATTAGGTTTGTTTTGGAGAAAAAAAAAATCAAGCAAAATGTTCTACCAGTCCTGATTTGTTTATTCTTTTTCTTTTGCAAATAAATAAATAAATAAATAAATAAATAAATAAATAAATACTGTATTTGACTGCAAATTAGATTTATGAAATGCTATTTATACTTCATTAAAATATAAAACTTTAATATTTAATCATTTATTAATCCTGTACCATAACACAAATCGATTTTCTTTATTTGGTTCACTTTGCTCAGGGTCGAAGTTGTCATTTTTTTTAAAACAATCATACAATTATTAAACAATGCTAGTAAGAGGTTTACTTCGGAGCTCAGCCAGCTTTTACTAGTGTAGCTCCATGTACTCTGACATGACGACAGCTCCATATACTGCTATTGGAGCATTTTTTGACCTTTACAATTGTAATATGGTTGTTTTTCACGTTGCTAAGAGGACCACCTGCCATTTGTACAATGCAAAGTGTAAAGTCTGTAGCACACTAGGTGAGACTATCATAACGAGTCTTTAACATGCTATACATTTTCTATGAGAGTAACCTTTGCACATTATCCACAGCACCCAGCAACAAGCTCAGCTGACAGGTTGCTTAGCAAAGATAAATGCCACTAAAGAGAAAATTTCATTTCTCTTATGGTGTGTGGAAGCAAAGTCCCTTTTATGGCCCTTCAAGTCCCTTTTTTAAGTGTATTCTACAGTCTTTGTGGAAGTTGCCACTGGCTTGCATGGTTTGGGACGCGTGGAGCTGTGCATCGATTGATTTGCTCTTCAGTGTTTGGACTTTCAGCAGTAAAAATTAAACCACACTGAACTGAACTAAACTGAACTTAATCTCTGAAAACTGGACTGACACAGGTTCAGTTTACTAGAACTTCTATGTTAAGCTGCTTTGACACAATCTACATTGTAAAAGCACTAAGCAAATAAGGATGAATAAAAAATAAAAGTATTCACTGCATGTAAATGATGTTACTTTTTTTTAGCTCAATTTATAAAAAAAATACATCCATCTTCAACACAACACAGGCCACAAAATTAATCCTGATGTGCTGGATGTGAGTAATGGATGTTGAGTAACCCTGTAATTGTCATGATCACCAGCGAACCACTCCTGGCAGATCCCTGGTAAACTACACATATCACACTAACAAAACTAAAATTCCCATCATGCCGCTTCACACCCACCGGTTGCTGTTTTCCACCAATGTCTCACACACAGCTGAATCTCGTCATCACTGATCATCTGGACAACTTATACACCACACATACACCAGTTCGGTAACTACTAATTTTGTGGATTTTGTGCAGGAAAAGAGTCAAACTAAAACATTTATGGATTTATGCACATCATAATACCAGCCATACATGTAAAGAACAATTAATGTCCTTCAATTCGGTCACATCCAGCGGCCCTCATCCTTGAACCAATCTCCATCAATGTAAGCTGCTCGCTGTTCTGTCTATTCCATTGCTCCATTTGTTAGATGTTTACTCAAACTTTCTTTTGCAGTCTGAAGCACGTCAAAGCATAAAACACCCAATTTGCGCCACAGGATGCCTAATCCAATCTTTGCATTGACTTCACATGTAAATCACACGCACTTCATCTGCGTCTGCTTAATGCGTAGGCTGCAAACTAATTCCACCCATTTCCATGCAATTTAATGATTGTGAGAGTAATGTAAGTAATGTAATGCACAGGTGAAATGTAATTTTTCGAGAGACACTCAAATGCATCACATGCGCTGCATATGAAATGTCTATAAGTCACATAAAACAATAAATTGCAAACTGAAATAAATCTAATTGTTTTATGAGATTATTTACATTTTTTGCGAATATTTTTGTCATTATTTTCTACATTTTTATTTCTTGTTGATTTTGCGTTGGATTCCGCGATCGCGGAATTGCAAATCTAGGGGGTCTGACTGATACAGTAGAGCAGAAAAGGCCAATGCCAGCCCACAGACCCTCCCTCATCAAAGAGGTTAAAAGTAGTTAGAAATTGGACAAAAGAGACACGTTTAAATACAAGGTGTGAACCGTAATGTGTCTTCTTTGTCCTCTTGTGATCTTAAAGGGGTGGTCCAGAGTGTATTTTTAAGGCTTGGTTGTGTTATAAGATGCAAAGCAATGTGTGCTCATGCTACATTTGTAAAAAAAATCTCGTTATTTTTTCATATATCCTACTTTGATTATATACCGCTACTCCGCTAACATGAAAACGACTTATATTTCCTAGTTCCTCTGTCTTCTTAATACAACTACCTTCAGGCTTACCTTAACAAGACTTATAGTAATGTTTACAAGAAGTAAAAATATTCTGTTGTTTATCATGGCTCTGACTAAACTCAAACACAAAACTGGACTGTGCAGATACTGTACTACAGTGACACAACAAAATATCTCCACTGCAGGATGTAGAGGTTGCTTTGTGCTAGTTATGAAACAGTAGTTGTCTGCAGGTTTCTTATTTCAAGAACAGTATGGTCTGCCTCAGCACTAACATATCGGCAAGGAATGGATCTGCAAATCAAGTCAGCTGTAGGGGTTTGATACAGAGATTTGAGGGCTTCGGCTGATGCCCGAAACAAATTATGTATGAGGCTCTGAGAGAACAAACACACAGGCCATTCACATGTATGTTTACAGGATACATTGTGCATTCATATAGCTGGAGGAAGAGAGAGACTCACCTGATTGGAGTATCGCATGCTGACGTTCCTCTGATCCTGTCGTGGCACATAGCGATGGATGGGGTCGATGTCCTTTGGGCTGATCAAACCATCCACTGTAAGGCAAACACAGAACAGAAATAACTGGTGTTGTTTTGTTGTTGTTTTTTTGTTCGGCACAACATGAGCTCGAAAACAAATCACTGCATTTTTAATTCAACAAGGTTTTCAATTTCCAAAACAAGCCTTTCCTGTGGATTATTACCATTCTCTGCTGGTCTGCATTTTGCTGCAGTGAATACACATGAATCACTGTCTACTGTATGAATCATTCTGTGTGTGCGCATGATGTTAATATGGCTAAAAATACAATATTTGAGAAAAAAAAAAAAACATGAACAGTTAATAAAGATTGTTATTAGACTTAAAATAGTATTTGCTGAAAATCAAACCTGACATGGGCAGATCTGTCAAGAGCTATGGTAGAGGAGGAGGAGAAGATTAATGAATAATGACTTCCATTTTCTGACTGTTGCTCACAAAAACGACTTCAGAAGACTTTGAGGAATGCTGCACAAGTCACACATACTGTTTTTTTGTTGCTTTCAACGCATGAAGGAAAAAGAGTTTTGAAAAATATTGCCTTTTGGGGCTTCACAGAAGAAATAAAATCAAAGCGACTGGAAAGGACATGAACTTAAATAAAAACGATTAAATAATGATCACAATTGTAATTTTCAACACTTTATTTTAAAGTGATTGGTTCATCTAACCAAAGTAGGCTAAAGAAAGGGTGAATTGTTTGAGATAGAAGAAAAAAAGCTGATGTGGAATGTATAGGAAAACAGAAGTGTTATTATTATTTATTTATTTAATTAATTCCACCTGGGATAAGTCTGATAATGCTTTCAAACCTGGACATTTTTTTTCTGAACTTCGTGTATTTTCCCTATTAGCTTCATTCATTTGAGCCTATGTAAACACCTCAATCACACTCTCATCTACTCCAAAACAATCCGTCTGAGACTGCTTAACTGAGGTGGTCTTGGCTCGGTTGAAACAAACTCTGGGGCGGTTTGGTTCTAGTGAGAAAGCAATACGATCCAACCCACTAACAAACCAGGCTATATTACAGTGTATTATGGTAATGTAATAGCTATATATATGTATGGCTATTCAAGGAGAGAATGATGAGTGAGGCAAGATGTCATTCCCACCGGTAAAAGTACCTTTCATGTTGACTACGAAAGTGAAAAGATGCTGTCTAACCAAACAATGAAAAACTTTTTTTTTCATATTTCATCTTTTAATTTTCTTCATTATGTAAATCCTTTTCTTAGAGATGGGTTGCGGCCGAAAGGGCATCCACATTTTTTAAGGCCACAATTAATAATTCAAACAAAAAAGTTCTTTAATGTCTTATTTTAATTTGAAAATGACCAGCAATAGATTGACAGATTCAATAGATAGACTAAATAGATTACAACTCGACAACTGAAATGAGGCTATGTATGAGAAAGTCTTTCCTCTGATTTATCCTTGGTGACAACATCTCTGGGTGCCACTATTCAAAATTAAAAATGCACCTTATCGCATTTAATGTCTTATTGCTCAATTGCCCTAAACTGAAATACTGAAGTATGACAGCTCAGGAGAATCCTGCAACATAAACCATGAATCTCTAACCAAGGTAAAGAGAATTTTTGGCGTGTTTAGAAAAAAGCAACATTGTAACAATTGAAATCAATTTAAGAACAAAACAATCTACAGGTGTGAAAGCGACCTTGTTCCAAGTTCAGACTGAATGATTTTAACCCTGATTTTGACTCAACAGGTTTTGAGAAATCACACAGTGTGAACTATCAAAGATGCAATCTGAGAGAATCAATTACCTACAGCCAATGAGAGAGCAGCATTCACTAGTTTGGGTATCTGTAGGCCAGCGGGAGGTAGGGGAAGAAGTTAAAAGGCTAATTATGGATATATTTGGACCCAAGAAATGGAGAAAAAAAACGAGTGGAAATTTGGCATGGAGCACCTGTGTATGTTTGACATGTCTTCTGAGCAATACCACAACCAGGTCTAAAAAAAAAAAAAAAAAAAAAAAAAAAAAAAAAAAGTTGAAAAGAAATTTCAAATTCCTATCAAAGAGTAGGTGAGCAAACTAAGTACATTTTCTACCCCACTAAAGGCTTCTTTTTCATTCTTTAGTCAATAACAAAATATTTACTATGTGACCTTGCATTGTTTTTATTGCACTTCTCACATGTGTTTGGTTGTGAGATGTAGTTTGTGGATCGAGACAAAGTTATCAGCAATTCTCCTATTGTAAAACCCCTGTCGCCGATCCCTCTTGCAGTGTAAACACAGCAGCAACGAAACGCTAAGCCAGATAGTCATGTAGTGTGAAAACATCTGTGACGTGACTACTTTAAAAATGTTGAAAGTGCAGTCTGAACTCGCAATAATCAATTAAAGAAGATTTACAAAACAAAACCTTTAAAACATCATAATTGGAGCTCTTTAACACAGTCTCAGTATTTAATTTATACAACAATTTATCCTAAAGAGGGTCTCTTTTAGTTCTCTTAAAGTAGATTTAACTCTCTTTCCTTTGGAGTAGCGTGAGCATATGGCATGAAGCTGCTGCATGAATAAATAAAAGAATATCTGTGTAAACTCTTTTAGTGGGAGTCTTTGTTGTGTGAAGCAGCCCTGACCCCGGGCTCCAGATGGATCTGAAACTCACCCAGCAGCTTAGCGATGTTATAGAGGGCCTGTCCCCAGAGGAACAGCATCCCATCACGGCCTGAGTTGCTGGGGAAGCGCTTCTGGCTGCCGTGTTTCTTCTGTTCAGCTTCCACAAAGTCCGCCGGCACATGATAATACTTAGGAATAACTGCGTGGCCTGTAGAGTATCAAATTAGACAACATTTAAAGAGGTTAGATTTTGTGCAGCCACACAGTCACTGCTATGCTAAATAATATGCACTACTGTTTAAAAGAATAAGGAACTTTTATTCAGTATGATGCATTTAAAAAAAAATAAAAAATAATAATAATTTGACCTAATAATAATAATAATAATAATAATAATAATTAAATTTTTCCCAAGAAACAAATAAGAATGATTTGAGAAATCACAGCAAAAAAATGCACCTTTACCTTTATAAAAAAATTATTTATATATATATATATATATATATATATATATATATATATATATATATATATATATATATATATATATATATATATACACGTTTTTTTTCTTTTTTATTGTAAAACTATTAACACAATATTAAACTTTTTGTGATTTTTTTAAATAAATGGATGAGGTCGGATTTCTGTTTTCAAATCCATCTCAGCAAGGATTAAATGATCCTTTTTCTTATTTTCCATTTTCTCATTACTTTATTTATATAATTATTTAAATCAGTATTTAATCTTTGAAATGATTGTGACTAATGAATAAAGTTAAAACATTGCCTAATTTAGGAATGTTCGGTATCTTTGTTCTTCTCCCTGTCTGTCAAAACTCAGCTCCAAACTCACCAAATCAGGTCACAGGTCATTGAGACCTCTTGAGTAGAACTGTAGGGCCTGATGACTGTAAACACATGTTCCTATTGTTATTGCTATGTGTTAATACTGTCTAAATTGATTTTGCTATTTTTATGCATTACCTCTGTTTAAAGTGATTTCATTTTAATGCAAGATATACTGTCTGTAGTAAGAATATAGCAGACAGAATGCTGATTATACCAGCTTCATAATAGAGCACATTTCTATAGACCCTAATGTTGAAATGGCATACCTTTACAGCAGAAAAAAAGGTGTTTACAGCCTGGTACAAAAAAACGATTTTGGTGTATATGCAACTGTGAGGTGGTGAATTTATTTATTTTTTTAGAACTCATCCATTTCTTTTATACTAAGTCTGCATAATTAAAGGTGTGGCCACTTGAGTGACAGCATAATAAGTGGTCACCATGTCACCTGATTAGCCACTGAACTTGGCATATACATCATATTTTTGATTGTTTTATGTGGCTTTACACAGTCAATTGCCTTTTGGAATTATTTCCTACAATCAGATAATATAATATGCTGTGCACTTAATTGTGCTCACAAACCATTCATGTAGTCTTCATTTCCCAGAAGAGTGAAATTGCATACTTCTATACCATCTCTATAAATGTATTTGTTTTATTTAAGATAATTTAGCATTTAAAATTTTCTTTAGACCTGTAATGCACTCCAGAATCTGACAGATTGATTAGCTGTAGGCTAAGCTGTCATCTGAAACGTTGTCATACAGTGTTATGCCTAGATTTCATAAACAGCCTTGCATTTACAAATGTAGACTTTATTTAAAGTATTTGAAAGTAATTAGCGTTTTCCTCAAGTAGAAAAACGTCATAAAAAGTAATGCTTAGTGGCTCAATGTATTACAACAGTGTTTTTAAAAGACTAAACACTTTATTGTTTTAGTACACAACCAAGCACATGTGGTCAGAACACAAACAAATCAAAGGTAATGAAGTATTAAGTGTTTCTCCCAAAGAAAGCTTCATCTAAGCAAAATGCTAGCAGGTGTTTGTAGTTTTACTTGCGTTCCGCTTCTTTGCCCATTTTTGGTAACCCCCGGCGAGATGATGCATGAAAAAAATGGCAACAGTTGACCACACCAACTTGTAGTTTCATTTGCGCTATTTACAAACCTATTTGTGACATTAAATATACTACGTCCATATCTTTTCCTACAGGGGTGCTCAACCCTGTTCCTGGAGATCTACCTTCCTGCAGATTTCAGTTGCAACCCTTATCAAACACACCTGTTCATAATTATCAAGTGCTGTTCAGGTCCTAATTAATTGGTTCAGTTGTGTTTGATCGGGGTTGGAGCTAAACTCTGTAGGAAGGTAGATCTCCTGGAACAGGGTTGAGCACCCCTGTTTCACAGTCTATGGACCTGACCCAAACCTTCTCACTTCATCCCTATCTGGACTCCGCATTGACGTAGCTATTAAGAATTGTCTATCTTTGCTTAAAACAATCAGAACCTTTTACCGGAGTTGACACCATTTCTGGTTTTGTGTAAAGAGTATAATTGCTGTGTTGATGTTACTTTAAGTCAGAAGTCCAGCCAGCGAGCTCTGCAACAGCATGAAGCCCTCCTGCCATGAAACGGCAAACTATCATCAGTAAATTTTCTTCATCTCCGACTCTGAGTGTTTCATTCATCTGACACACCAGACTTTTATATTAACTGTTAATCTTCATTCCCAACAAAACAAACACATCATATTTCAATGGGTGCACATAACAAATTTTATTAAACATGAATACATTCTTACAATCCCTTTGTGCAGTGTTGTAAACTAATAGGCCTTTGGAATTTATTTTCTTTGTTTGTCATAAAATAAACAAAAGAACTAACTGGCCACATTTTGTCTGGAATATAAAATATTCAGTATTCAGCAAAAATGCTTTTTATTTTACTGCCACTCCCATTTGTTGGATGTGCTGTATCTTGAATTTAGCAAACTGGCTGTCAGCAATATCCAGCCTAACCATATTTTCACCTTTTCTGACAAGCCTAATTTAGACGACTAAACTAAGCTCTTATTTGTATTGGTGAGGCTCACTGTAAGCAAATGAAATGAGCTGAGCGAGTTATTATGTTGCTTATTATGGTTCTACTTCTGAAGGGTAGTGGGTCTGAAGGACTGTCAAACAGCATGAAAGCAGTTTTTTATTTATTTAGTATCTTTATTTATTTATTTATTTTTTAAATCTGCCTGTGGGGAAACAACGGTGTTCTGGTCTGTTTAAATAATGAGCATCTCCTCTGTTGTGCACTTGACTGAGACGCGTCTGAGGAAATCATGCAGTGTGGGAGAGATGAATACGAAAGGGCCACTCTAATAAAGAGTAATGGGAAAATAACAGTCATTGGCAGGGGCTGGAGGACACTGGCTGGCAAAGCAGAACCATCACTGTATGACAAGCGTTGGCAGTTTGTCCAAAAAAAATGCTCATATGCATGTATCTGTTTGTGTAAGTTACCCTCAAAGGACTGGAAAATGACAGCTTGTAGCAGCTCCTGGTACTCTTTGACTTGATCGGGGTTTCCTCTGAACACACCTGAATGGAAAGGAAAATTACAAAAAATTACACCGCCCTCCTACAGGAAATCTGTCAAAGACTACAGAATAGACAAGACATGTCAATTGTATAGTGTTGAATAGAAAAAAGTTTTATAGTCAATCTGGCGAATGAAGCTCCGCCTTCTACTATAGGAGCCAATCATCGTTTGTTATATAGCTAATGTTTGTCCAGGGGAGAAGCTTGGACCAGACTTGTGCTTTTTTTTTTTTTACTACAGTTTATGTGGCCAAACAAACACACTGTAATATCAGTGAATACTTGCTTCACAGACATAATAAATATATCCACATAAAGCTTAAAATCTTTTGAATTAACCAGTTACACTTAAAAACAAAAGGGTTTTTTCTAATCTGTATGAAAAAAACGTGAGGTACAGTCTGTCCTACACACATCGCATGACAGCAACAACTCAAACGCCCGCAAACTAGTAAACAAGGAGTCGCTAAAGAAGATTTACCTATTGAGTTGTAAATTACTTCAGGAGACCAGCGAGATCTGACAAAGCATTATGATAATGTGTAAGGGCCTACTCACACTATGCCATCTGTACCATGCCCAGGCCCATTTCCCGGATCGTTTGAGAAGTGTGAGTGCGCTGAATCGGGCTCAAGCACGGTTCACTTGGCTGGCCCTGGCCCGGTTGAAAGAGGTGTGCCTGAGCGCGGTTTACTTGGGTTTTGGTGTGGTACGCTTGTGTGTGAGTGCAAAACGCGCCAAAGCCCAAAACTGAAAGCGAGATGTGACTTTTAAGGGGCTGTTTCATATGGATTTATTAATCAATCTTACTGGTTCAGCGAACGCAAACTACCGTAGTTTATTAAAGATGAGAACTCCTCACAGCACGACAGCTGCGCGGCTTCAGCAGACCTCCTCATTCCTGCAGCACGAGAGCATTATGATTGTTTTTGAGCGCCAAAAGTGGCTGATCTGTTTGTCGAAATATCTGACTGCGTGTCACCGCATCCCTAAGGACTGTTTGGCGAAATATTTGACAGCATGTCACTGCATATCAAACGACTGAAACGATATAACTAGAGAAATCTCCACTGTGCTGCTGAGTGAGAGAGCACTTCTCACTGAACAGCGCAGCAGCGATGACGTAAGCATGCCGAGGCCCATTTGTGGTGTGAGTGCGGGCCGTCGGGGGAGACAGGAGGGGGGACGAGCGTGCTTTGGCCCGGTTCGAGACAACTGTACCTTACCTAGGGTGAGTACGGCCTAAAATGGCCATAAATAAAGTTGGTTTCGTAATCTTGTTCCTTTCGCATGAGTATTAACTCGGGCAAGCTGGAAAATACTTATGAAGCCAACTTTTGAGTCAGTTGATGTTTAATTTAATTGATGATTCCAAATATGTAAAGTAATCTTAAGCTTTGCAAACAGTTTTGGAGAATTTAATGTTTCCCCAATCAGACAGAATGCCTGAGCATACTGCCCAAGAGACATTTTAAAGATGGCCAGCGAGTAAAATCACTTAAAGGGACTATAATGCTACTCAAAAACAGGACATTTACAAATGAACTCAGCATGTATATGAAACACTGTAATTTCTAAAACCAGTAAAAATGTCATGGTAAAAAAAAGGTAATTGGTTAGCTATACCATATTCACCACAATAAAAATGTAACTAGGTTTATGCTGCATTGTTTGTCATTTTTTTTTTCAAAATAGAGTCAAAAGCAAAACAAATCTTTTATTCAAAAAATAAATAAAACAAAACTGTAAATTAAAAAACTAAATTTAATTAAAAAACTGTTAATAGGTTAAAATTCTTTGGAAAAAATAAAAAAATAAAGAAATATATACATATTTAGAGCAGAGTTTGGTACCTCAAGAAGACTCATATAACAAGTACATCACTTAATGAAATTAAATAAAATTCATTATATTCAACTAATATGCATGACTCTTACCATCAATCATCATATAGATGTAAAAAATTGGAAACTCGCACTCAATACCGTCAAAGAGCTGAAAAACAACAGGGAAAAGAATAAGACATGAGTAATAACAGAAACTGTTCATACACAGTAATAACTCAAATATAATTAAATGTTTAGAAATGCTTTTGTTTAATGCAGTGTTTCCCCATCCATGTTCCTAGAGGCACACCAGCAGTACACATATTTTGGATGTCTCCCTTATCTGACCCATTCATTTCAGGTTTTGGAGTCTGATGGTCTGATGAGTTGATTCAGATGAGTTTGATAAGGAAGACATTGAAAATATGTACTGTTAGTGTGCCTTCAGGAACAGAGTTGGGAAACACTGACATGTATTCCTACAGTAAATCTGTGTTATTAGCATAATGTGGTTGTGAGAATGAAAATTATACACACATTTAAATGACTAGTATATATTTACACATGTTACCTGTACCAAAATGCAAATACATAAAACATAAGCCCTTCAAATGACAAAGGTAATGTCAGACAACCTCTGTTTTCAACTTACGACAGTTCAGAAAAACAGAAAACAATTATGTTGAAGTAAAGTACAGCAGTCATGCAGAAACTCCATTAAAAAGCCATAGTGCTTCGTCTCTCTTTCCCTAGAGCCGAGCCATGAATCACTTGGGTTTGAAATTAAAATCAACTCAGATGTAGAGATGGTTTGCGAGTGTGAAAAAGCAATGATTAATTCAAATTATGAGACTGCGGCTCGTTTTAATCGCATTCATTTAAAAGTATAAGTCAACATTTAAGTGCCTACAGATGCTCCGTAAAACACTGCCAGCATTACTTTTCAAACATGAATCTGAAATTAGAGCTTCGTGTGTGGGCAGACGGAGTTTACTATGGAAGTAATCCATCAGAAACGTAACATTTATATCAATATCAAACCAAATAAATAGGGATTACCATAAACAATTTAGTGTGGGCCTATGGAGCATTCGGATGCCATTTCATCGAATAAAAACCACACCACATTTAGCAACCCACTTTCCAGGCTGCAATTAAAACTTATGAAGCTTATAATAAGCTCACGCGTTTACAATATTCTCCCCATTCATGGCATGAAACGTTGGTAATACAATTCTGTGATCCTCTTTGCGTTGCTGCCAATAATATGACAGCCTCCATTCAAATCTCTCTTTTGAAAATACAAATCTTGTGAGCTGCTTAAGAGGTGCACAAATCTAACGCACACTTTGATGGCTGACGAGGAACAAAATGTCTCTCAACCTTTCCCCAAATGTAATTAAGACCTCTCTATCTCCGCCAGCGATCTCGGAAGACAATCGGCGTGGCATTAGGAGATCAGAACGGGAGATTAGGATGTAATGAAATAAAGGCTGTTAATTGGACTGGTCTCACATCACTGGCATATCGCAAATAAGCTGTTTCAGGGTAATATGGGTTTGTGTATAGTCAGCATCTAAAACTGAGAAGATATAGCTACATTATTCTACTCTCTAACTGACCGAGAAAAAAAACAAACATTTGATTCAAAGGACAATATTTCAAGACTATAAGTGAAATCTTATCACCAGTTGCACCAACAGGCTTATATTAAACCCTGAAAGCCTAAAAATAAAATCTAGTGTTGTTTTTTTTTTTGTTTCCCCTCTCAATATCAGTTTCTATAACCCCCTGGAGAGTCAGAGAGAAGTGCAGTCAGAGAGCTGGATGAGGCACACATATTAAATGAACATCTTCTGGGTGAGAAAGAGCAGACATGGAGGCCTACTCACAGTAAACAGCGAATTGTCTCATAGGGCTTTGACTTCACTTAGCACAATTACTTAGTAAGACAATATCATTTACCAGAGGACATTCAGTCACTATGAGACATCCAGGCTTGAAATCCTCTGCCATCATAACTTGGTTATAGATTTAATAGAATGGAAACTCCAGCCATGCAGAAAGGCTCTTTTTTGAGCGTGACTGGTCAATAACATGGAGATGTTCTCTGATATCAGTAAGTATTTGGCTTAGGTAAGTTCAATTCTCCAGAATTTTTTTTTATAACCACAGATTGAAAAGCTCAGTTTTGACCATATTTGGAATGGTTGTGAATATTAACAAGCTCTGCTCTGATGCTCCACCACCTGTGCCAGTGCCTGCTCTCTCTCACACAGAAACACACACACAGCATCTACATGTGTTTGTTGCTGCATTACAAACATAAGTGACAAGTTTCACAATATACAAATGTGGCCTTTAGAAATGCGCCCCGTGTCTCAGGGAACAGAATTCAATGACTAGCCGCGGTTAGCCACAACACTTAGGGAAATTCTCTGACTGAGGAAATACATTACCAGTAAGTGGCAGCCTAATTTTCAGTAGTGGCCAGTTCTGAAGGCGGAGGACTCAATGCTAGACTCAACTTCTCCAAGTTTTGTTCATAATTGCTAAAATCGTGTTTATTGTTTTCTAATAAGAGAAATAGTTTCACTTTAAACACAGTTTTGCAGATTCGCTAGAGCCATTATAAAGTGTGCTGTCTCAAATGACTAATGATTCTGCATTACCACAACACGTTTTATTTGCGAACATTAAAGCTGGTTTCAGTTCTTAATTTTCGGTCGTTTCATTTTTAAAAATCTGTTTATTTAATTTCTTGTTAATTAACTCCTATTTAGTTATTTATTTTTGTAATTTACATGCATTGTAAGTGTAATGCAAGATTAGATAAACCTAAAAATATAATTGTTGTAATCTCAAAAAGAAATGTTGTGCCGCAGCCTGTGGTGTGCAAATTAATAATCTCACATAGATCATCAGAGTCTGTGTTTTGTTCAGATTGGCTTGTTTTTCACCAGCAATGTCATTGATTTTTACTAAAGTATTATTAATTAGCTAGACACACATATATTCATTTGATTGCACTTTTAATTATTCATAAAAAAAGAAAAGAAAAAGTCAATACATTGGCTGCTCATTTAATCATATCATTTTTAAAAATTAAGTAAATATAGTAGACTGTGCTGGACAGTACATGGTATCAGTCCTGTTTAGGGGAAAACATCCAAATGAGCTTCTATCACAACAGTCTGTTGGCTGATTTTTATATTTTCAATACTGATCAGCCTCCAAAAAAAAAAAAAAAAAAAAAAAGCCTGCAGTTATGCAAATTGAAATGTGCCTTCTTTCTGCATACATATCCAATTGTAATCAAAAGCATTGATCTGCCATTCCTAAAAGTCATTAGCTGTCATCACCATATTGTAACAAGCCTGCCATTGGTTTAGTGAACAGCAAAATTGAACTTTAGTCAACATGGACGTAACCTTAAGTGTGGATTTCTTTCATTTGTATGACAGGACCATTTATAAATTTGGGACAATGAAGGAGGTGACGATGGTGTTCAGCTAAAAATAGGTAAGCTAAAATGTTACATCAAATGAGACCCTCTATTCTTATATCTATGTCTCCTCAAAAAATCCTCCATCACTAATTCTAATACCCTTAGTTGTTTCTCAGTAAATATTGCTACTCTGTATTGAGATGCTGCTTTAGATTCTAGACTTTACTTCAGATTTTTACTTTCGATTATTTAGGTTTAGTTTTTATGAGCGATTCTATGATAAAAACATAAACTAAGCAGCATTTATTGATTGCAGCAGCCTTTCCAACATATTGAAAGTGGCTGTTTTGAAAAATATATTTTTTTTCCAATTTGTTGCTACATTTTATTTATTCATATCTAAATAATACATAGGCTATACTTATATGCATAGAATCTGCTCACTGAAACCAATTTTTCAAATATTTTAGTCTATTAAAAAAAAAAAAAAAAAAAATATATATATATATATATATATATATATATATATATATATATATATATATATATATATATTTATTTAAAGATTTCCCAAAGATGAGTTGCGGCTAGAAGGGCATCCGCTGCGTAAAAATAAAAGTTGGGAGTTCATTCCGCTGTGGCGACCTCAGATTAATAAAGGGACTAAACCGACAAGAAAATTAATAAATGAATATAATTTAAAGAATATATATTTTAAGGAATACCTAATTTTAGACTATTTCTTTTATTAATTTTAGCACCAAACAGCTGTCATGCAGTTTTATAGAAACATATACACTACCTGACAAAAGTCTTGTCGTCAATCCCAGTTGTAAGAGTAACACATGATAACTTGACTTCTAGCTGATCATTTGAAAAAGTGTCAGAAGGTAATTTTTTTCTGATGAATCATCTGTTAAACTGCCTCCCAATCATCACAAATACTGCAGAGAAACTATTGGAATCTGCATAGAGCCATGATACTCACAGAAGTCAGTCAAGTTTGGTGAAGGAAAAATCATGATTTGGGGTTACATTCAATATGGGGGCATGTGACAGATCAGCAGAGTGGATGGAAACATCAACAGCCTGAGGTATCAAGACATTTGTGCTGCCCATTACATTACAAACTACAGGAGAGGGCTAATTCTTCAGCAGGATAACGCTTCTTCTCATACTTCAGCCTCCACATCAAAGTTCCTAAAAGCAAAGAAGGTCAAGGTGGTCCTGGATTGGCTAGCCCAGTCACATGACATGAACATTATTAAGCATGTCTGGGGTAAGATGAAGGAGGAGGCATTAAAGATAAATCCAAAGAAGCTTGATGAACTCTGGGAGTCCTGCAAGAACGATTTCTTTGCCATTCCAGATGACTTTATTAATAAGTTATTTGAGTCACTGCAGAGATGTATGAATGCAGTCGTCCAACCTCATGGGTCATACACAATATGAATTCTTTTTCCACTGCACCATGACTTTATTTTCTATACTGGAAATTATTTCTGTTAAGTGACAAGACTTTTGTCTAAGCAGAGTCAGACCTTGCTGTCCTAATTAAATAATTAAATATTGATCATATTTGTATTTTGGTAAAATAAGTGTAATTTAGAGGCCTTTGCCTTTCTTATAAGCCACTTCGGATACCAAATGATTTACTAGAAGTCAAGTAATTATTTGTTGTTCCTAAAACTTGGATACTTGTCAGGTGGTGTGGTTATTATGACCGTTATTCTTTTTTATATTAATAAGTGTTGCATTATGCAAATAAGTTATGGATTATTCTTCTTGGTGCCCATTTTAAAGAGAAACAAAAATATTTGTGATATGTTTAGCTTGTTTTTATTATTATTATTATTATTATTATTATTTAAACCAAAATGTGTTTTAAGTTATCGTGTTGGCGCACACATAGATTGTGATGTAATTGCATATAATTCTTGTTTTGCTTTGAGTTCATTCTTTGAAATTATTAAAATATTAATGCAGTCTCCTTGCAGTTTATTTCCCGCACACATTCATAATCACAACATTTGCCAGTACTGCCTCAGCTGATTTTATGCATGTGCTTCAACACTTAATTTATTTTAAATGCAAATCATTATGGTTCAAATTTTCTCTGTAATGTGGAAAAATTTTTACAAACATCATTATTTCTCAGCCCTGAGACAGCACTTTCTCCCAACATATACTTAAGCAATTAAACGAACATCATAAATGTGTGATTAGTCGACTAATGACTTGAATGACAATTGGTTGACACTGGGGAATGCCCTACAGTATAAATAAAGAACAGCTTGGTGCCGCCATGGTATCTGAATTTCAAAATGCACCAGAATACCATGGTACTTCTTGTTGGGTGTGGATGGAGAAATCAGGTAAATGAACTGCAATGATGGATAATTTGAGGAATGTTATTTCTCATTTCTCTCTACGGGCTTGTTCATTGTAGGAGGTCAGCTCTTGCTGCTGATGGAATGATTTGCTGCAGGATAAATCTTCCCCTTTCAGATTTCAGATTCAGACTCAGCGTGTTCCCAGGCTAATTCTGGAGTTAATATCCTCACTGTTCAACCCAATCAAATGGGATTTACCCGCAGCCCTCGCATTCTCCTGAGAGATGGATAAATAAGCAAATCTGCACCAGATTAAAAAGAGGCACATGAAAACGCCATTTATTAGATCTGTCGCTTACCTTTATAGAAAAATCTTTGTTTCTCAAATAAATTGTCTAAACCTGAGGCTAGTCATAATAACTCTTCTCAAATGTGAAGAAATATTCTGTTTTAATTTTTGCTATGAGCCAGTTTTAATTTCAACAGGTACGTAAACCACACTCACCTTCATCTCAGCAGGTTTATAGTGCCTGCGGTTCTTGTCCTCATTGGCTGTTCTGAAGCCGTCTCTTAAGAATCGCTTAAAGCCATACTTGCCCTTCAGCTTGCGGACTATCTTGTCCAAAGTCTGGGAATACAGAGCATCATCGTCCACAGCGAACGCTGGGTAACTGATGCAGGGCAGGAGGGCTGAATCTGTGTTCTAGAAAGACAAGAGCATTCGCATTAGAAGCAGGCATTGAGCGACTCGCTGCTGCTCTATTGAATTTGCCTTCCATCAGGAAATATTGAGGGAACCCAGGGTTAAGTGAGCACTTTCTTCCTGAGAATGGTCTATTTTTCTGCATTAGCCTGTGCAGTTTTAATAACACATTAGTCAGACTCACGGAGAGGCTTTAATACATGGGATATGTAAGTCTATACACTTGAAGCCACTGAATCAAACTACCTTTGAAATGAAGAATATTTCTGCATAATGCACAGCCTTCATTAGGCTTAATTGTGTTAATTTACCTGTTCTTTGGCAGAGATTACTTTGTTCTCCAGTAAAATTGGCATAGAGAAGAATCCGATCTGTGCTTTGATAATGGCGAAGGACACTTTGAAAGTTGATTGATACTATACATGGGATTTTTTGATAGTATAGTTCACCCTCAAAATTATTCTTTCTTCTTTTGAACAAAAAAGAAGGATTAAAGCTGCAAGCAGCGATGAAAGGGACCTCGCACCTGGGCTCACCAACGACTAGTGGCCTTAGGATGACAGAGAACAGTGGACAATAATAATTTAAGCTGATATAAATAAAAAATAACCTGAAAAAAAATCACAGATTTATGCCAAACTTCCTTCTGTCAACAGGTTACGCTATGAATGTGACTCAGTATTGGCATGAAGATGTCTTCAGGAAAGGAATCTCATCAAACCTGTGAGTTTTCAGGCAGATCAGACAGTAGCTGTGTCCCAAATCGCATACTTATGCACTATTCTATGCCATTTTGTAGTATAAATAGTGTAAGTAGTGTGTTCACAGTGAAAACTCTAACAATAATAAGAGCATTTTAATTACCCGGATGATGCACTTATTCAGCCGGTAAAATTAAGTGTAATGATGGACACTTCACGCACTCAACGACCGCAGGTCTGCTTACGTAGCGGAAGGGGCGGAGCTATCGGATGCACCAGTTGGATAACTTTATTTATTTTGGATGGTGAAAGCAAAATTTCCCTACCAGAGTGATTATAGCACCTCCCGATGGTGAATGTGGTTATACTCACGGCAGGTATTATTTGAAAATTCGGTCGTTTATTTCATTGATTTGGCAACCGTCAAACCTCATCAGGGAAACGGTTTGAATTTCCGCTTAGTAAAAAAACATTAGTGTTCCATTTGGGACGCCACTACATACATGTACTATGCTGTTGAGTATGTAAGTGCATAAGTACATAGTGCATGAGTGCATAGTGAATAGTGTGCCATTTGGGACGCAGCTATTGTTTGGCTGTTATAAGTACTTCCTCCTTCATGGCGAAACACTGAACTTTGTCAGTCTGCAAAAACTCTAGATCTTCACAATTTAACATCACAAAGACCTTTGGATTATACAGACAAAACTTGGATTAAATCTGATAAAATTTCCAGGAGGAGTTTGTTACAGTGTAAAACATGTCATTTCCTGTTGCCAGCAGATGGTGC